AAAGCTTTTGACAGATTAATTCGATTCCTGCCCGTGTCATACTTTTTAAAATTGAAAATAACCTTTAATAAGTTACACTTAGTAACAAGTGAATATAAGAATTTTTTAAACTTTTAATCTAGATTGAAATCAAATACAAAAAAAAAGTGACGGAAGAATTCTTAACAACTTGAATTGTTAGAAGGATGTCTAATTCAAATCTACCTAAGAACCTATAAATGTTCTTAAAAAATCGAAAATAAATTGAAAACTACTTTTTTTGACTCGGGCAGGACTTGAACCGGAATCGTCAGCGTTCCGTGCCGTGTGCTCTACCAATTGAGCTACCAAGTCACCAAGTATGCCACTATACTACTATACTTAGATGTAGCAATGGAACATGACTAAAAAATAATTAAAGTTTTCCTAAAACGATAGAAATGTTCTTGTTAATTTTAAAATAACTCACTCGAACAGCACAGTCTAAAGCCAAATAGGACGACAACATGTTATAGGCCAAGATTGCCACCAAGCTTGTCTATACTGTCATAAAAACAAAGTTCGCAATACTATCGCGAATAGATCACGAATTTCTTGTATGTCATGAATATCAAAGGACTCCAGTAAATTGGGTTTATTCCTATAGTCGCACAGTTCAAATGCAATATCTAATGTGAATATTGAAAATTCAAATCACTATTTTCTCATTTGAATATATGTTTGTTTACTATCTGTAGTTTTCTAACAAAGATAGATAAAGACAAGCAAGCTGTTTTGCAATCTACACTTTGAGAACTTTAATATTTTTCACATGTAATTGCACATGAAGGCACTATATAATTTAAAAATCGAATAAAATTGAAAAAAATTTCGATTCGGGCAGGACTTGAACCGGCATCGTCAGCGTTCCGTTGCTGCTCTACCAATTGAGCTACCAAGTCCGTTAGCTCAATTGGTCGAAATTGTTTTTATTTATTTTCGATTTTTAAGTAATCTACACTTTTCTGAAACTTATTCAAAGAATAAGAACATATACAAATAAAAAAGGTCAAGTACGAGTCGGATTCGCATACGATCTCGTATTAGGTGTACATAATACATAATCAAAGTTCTAACAAGTTTTCAGTCAATCAATCAAGTATTCAACTCATTTTATTTTATTTTATGTAGCAAAACATATATCTAACAAGATAACTAATATATATCTTAATTTCAATTAAAAACTTTTTTTTAATATCCCTCAATATGTATTCTACTCGTAACTAAGCCATACAAAGTGAAATTGGTTTTTTTCTTATGAAGCATTGGGTGGACTCTGCTGTGTCCGTTTCCCCGTTCATTTTATTTAAAGACTTTAAAGAGTTGATTAAAGTTGTGTCGTGCTCGATCAAAACTATATATTTTTTCCCTAGGTTTCAAATTTAGACTACCACGCTTAAACGACATTAAGGCACTGCTATACTAATAAGGCTAAAAAACACAGTATTTACTACATCAATTTATTAAATTAAAATTATAAATATTAAAAAAAAATTACAAAAATTCCTCAATATAACAATACTCGAAGTGTCGTCAACTGATCCATTTAATTGTAAATAATTAACGAGTAAAGGCACAGTATATTTATATATAATTAAAAGCAAGTAAACGTAATTTAACGGAAAATCCTGGCGGATAGAATATTTTAGATGCACAGACCATGACAGCCAAACCAAGGCCTAGCATTTTTAATATATACTTCGTTTAACGTAGGTAGACACGTTTGGTACATTAACAATTATATATTCTGGGATTTATATGTTAGGATTGCATATACTGGCGGGTAGTGGATTCGATTACCACCGTGACCAACCTGAATTTAAATTATTCCTTTCTAAGCTAAACCATTATGTGAAACGTCATTAGTAGTTATACCAAAAATTTGTCCAGGTCACGGTAAAAAATCTGCTATGTATAAAGTTACATTTTTGTCTAGTCTATAATCGACAAAGTTGTCTTTGGGACTAACTGTTTATATGGAGAATACTTACGCATCCTTCTATGAAGTACCCCAAACTTGTCTCCTTATAAAAAACTATCATCCTATATTAGACAAATGATAATTTAAAATGTATAGGATGCAAACGCAAGAACAAAAAAACGGGAAATTTTACAGAAAAGACTTACAGACTGTTGTACGATGGTCAAATGTTCTTGTATATAAAGGCGGAGGGAATTAATATGTTTAGTTTAGAACTAAAGTTGCAGTGTTGAGAGGCACTTTGCATTGTTATTGTGCTCGGAATCCAATTAATTCAAGTGGGTATTACATTTATCTATTCATAATGCTCTCGTAATAAAAATATTGCATGTTTCACTACTATATGGAGATATAATAACTCATACATTTTAAAACTTTAATATTTCACATCGTAGTGTATAAATGAAGAATCTATTTAGATTAAAACAAGTCAACATGAGCGGGAATCGAACCGGCATTTACAGCGTTCCGTGCTGTTGCTATAACCAAGTACACGGTAGCTTAATTGGTGGTTCAAGTCCCGACTGCGTCATTTATCTAAATAAATTTTCAATTTATAATTCATGCAATGCAACACATTTTAAAACTCATGTAAGATCGAAAACTTTTTATGATTCGATCGGGAACCGAACTTACAAACTGACCGAGGGGATCGTGCGATTTTCAATCACTGTGTAAGTAAGTCAATTACCGCCTATGTGACTTTTTAAATGATTTCCTTTAACATAATCTAAGCTTTTTTATATGTTGAAGTAAAGCGGAATGAAACAGTCATTAAGAAATTAAAAGCGATTTTAACATAGAATATTTATTACATTATTATAATTTAACTTTTGAAAAATGTATTTCTTTTCACAAGTTAAGCACATGATGGCATGATTGTAGGACACGGTGGCTCAATTGGTTAGATCAGCAACATGGAACTTTGTGTATGCGGGTTCAAATCCCAGTCGTGTCGTAAATTGTTTTTAATCTAATTAATTGATATTTAACTAAATATGTCTATAGTTTACCGAGTAGTACACATTCAAATAAAACACTTTAAGTTTAAACCATATATTATTAAACTTATTTCCCCGTGCCACGGCTCTGCAAAGCATCCGAAACTCGCCGAAATTAAAAATCATTTTCAAATAAGTTTAACTAATATATCGTTTTAAACCGTTAAGTGTTTTATTTAAAGAATTTACTTCAGATAACAAAAAATTAATCACGGTAAGTATACATTAATAACATCTAGTATTTCCTTTCGCAATAACAATAGTGAAACATTAATATTCGTATTGAATCAGTATTATAAACCGTGCGTAGGATTCAATGGTTGAATTATTTAATCGCTCCGACGGCTAATTCCTGTCTAAACACGATTACTTATGCCAAGTTAACGCTTGAATGAACTGTTTACTTGAGACACTAACAATAATCAATTTATATATTTGACAATGTAAAATATGTTCAAAATATTTATTTTAACAATCTAGTTATACTCTTACTTTAACCAAAAATAACCAAACGGGTTGAAACGGGTTTATAAATACTTATAAAAACATGCTCGTTCTTAGTCCATACTTTCAACGTTGTCTCAATTCATTGCTTTATAAGAAAGTAATATTTCGATTTTAAGTATTTAAACTCCGTATTAATATAAATTAAAAAATCTATTTGGAAAAAAATTCGATACGCACGGGAGTTGAACATCCATAGCGTTCCGTGCTGCTGCTGTAACCAATTGAGCTACGGTGTATTGGCTCAAATTTTATGTCAAATCCAAAATATTTTAATTTAAATAATGCCAACAAGTACATTAACACGTTTAAAATAATCAAGTTTAAAGATTCGAACCTTCGTGACAACAAAACGTTACATGCCTTACATTGCAATGTCTAAGGTCTTATTGTCTGAAGTAACAAACAAAACGACCAAAATGAAACAAAACTCAAATTCGTTTTTTTTAAAATAGAAACAAGCAAATGGTTCACTTGATGGAAGGTGAAATCTCTCAGCTATGAGATGTTTCTCAACAAGATTTGCTGTCTATTTTTGGATATTCGGAAATCCACAGACTGAAACCGAACTTTACGGCTTTTTCATGAGGGTGGTGGTGAGTGTTTTGATATTGCTACCACCCAATTAATATCGAAATTTCCAGACCCAACATGCTTCAGAAAATTATCAATTGGTTTGAAAATGTTGGATTGGAATTCAGTGGAATTCGAAGCCACGACCCGTTGATAGTAGCCATACATTGCTACCATGACACCATCGAGCCCGAATACTTAAATTAATAAATATGAAATGAGCACAGGTTTAATTCAGATAAGTTATTTACTTTCGTAGTCAATTTCGAAGGTATACGAGTTGTAAGCAATTATTAACGTTAAAAATTATTTTTTAACAGCCTGTTAGGAGCGTTTGGGGCGTATCGAGTGCCGTTAATTAAATAATAACGTACATTTACAATCCGATGCAAAGCTTATATATTCGGATCTAACTTCTCAGGAGTTTTGTTATTGTTTTAAAAATTAACTGTCAATATCAGGGCTTTAGTTCAAGTACTACAAACGTCTCTGGTAAAGTTTTATACTATGTTTAAGACTTACGTAGCTAGGCGAAAGCTGTGCAGAAATTTAGACTTTATGTCTATAAATTTTAAGTGCTATGTTTGTGTAATAAAGGTTTTATTTAGACGTCACAATTTTTTTTGCTAACCTCTTCATCTTTATAGACTTAAGCTGTTGCTCACGATGTTGGTCGTGTCCCTTTATTCTTGCAAGTTAATCTTAAAAGATAGACACATAGTGTAGTGGAGATTTTTTTTTGATCATCTAAAGAGGAATCTTGCATACAGTTACTTTTGGGTCTCTCGAGCTGGTTGCAGTGTACGCATCTGAAACCCACAAAGCTGAATAATTTAACCCGTTTTTTCCACATTTCCTGTTATTTCTTCGCCTCTTAGTCGCAGCGCAAGTGCATTCAATTCATTGCAAATATTTTTGCAGCTATGAAGCTTCTGATCGTCTTGGTACTAGTAGCTGTTGCAGCTGCTCGACCCGAGGAGTTCTACAGCAGTCGTTATGACGATTTCGACGTAACCCAGCTGACTGAAAACCCGCGTCTTATGAGCTCATACATACAATGCTTTATGGGAACTGGGAAGTGCACACCGGAAGGCAATGATATCAGCAGTAAGCTTTAATCAGCCGTTTCGATTTTAATAAAGTCAAAACATTTAATCACGTATGCAACTAGTTCTAAATAAGCTGAATTAGAATAAAAAAATTAACGGCTTGAAAACAGGAATATACATTATTATTTAAATTAACGGCCCGACGTTTCGGATGCCTTGCAGCAGCTTTGGTCACTGGGAGACGATGACTTGTCGAAACGTCGGGCTGTAGTTAAAATTATTTGTAAATAGGTTTTACTAATATATAATTCAGGTTATTTATAACATATAAAAATTAAGTTTAATATATAAACTTTTTGTTTTTAAAGATTTGTAAATATTTCCTCATTTTAGAATCATTTTAAACGACAGCTAATAACTTGCAAAGTAAATTTAAGTTCAATATCAAACATTACTTAAGGAGGTCCGGAGTTCGCTCCACAGTCGTTCCATAACATGATTAACTTTGTTGACATTACTTGCTCTGCGGTGAAGGACAAGTAGTAAACGGTTACTATGGTAACGAAGTTTAAAATTGGAATGCTCTGTTTCCGATTACCATAATTTAAATTCGTTTCTACTGTAGCGAAAAGTTAATCACGTTATTATGTTTCATTGAATATTAATACATTTTTGTGTACTTAAGTTTTGTGAGAAACAATAGGAACTTAACACATTTCGCTTGCGCCTTTATTCATATTTAAATTTAGTTTTTGCGTACACAATGCTACATTGTATAAATAAAGAAAATTCACGTTCTAGTTCTGTGCAAATAAAAAAACGTTTTTTAAAAGACAAGTGTCTATTTTTATCCTGTACTTTTTATGTAAATGTTTAGATTCTAAGTACAATTGTTAAACATCAGGATGTCTATAGCATATCGTCTAGAGTTTCGTTAATCCCGAATTCGTTCAAAAAGATTAAATCGATCAATCAGTCTCTGATCCATCTCCGAGCAAGGTTTTACTCGAGCAAGATTTCACTTTTAACGGTTTAAAACACGAATTATATAAATAGATTGTAATACTTATTATATTACTATTGTAACAAGTAAATATTGTAAACAAGATAATTATATATAAAATAATATAATTCGTCATATCATTGTCTTTCGGGCTGCTCGGCCGATGTGAGCGAGAAGACGACACATCGGCCCAACAGCCCGAAGAAAGATTGCTGAAGTGGCCGGAAGCCTACACAGAAGTCGTGTTTTTTAATTATGTGATTTTTTATTAAATGTGTTCTCTCGTGTAAACTATACACCATACTTAAGATTCAACTTTATACAAATCGTAAGAATACCTCGCTGAAATTTCAGAATGGATCCCCGAAGCAGTGCAAAGCACTTGCGCCAAATGTACCGAGAAACAGAAGGTCCTAGTCGCGAAAGTGATCAAAGCTATGATGGAGAAACACGCCGAGGACTGGCAGAAACTGCGCGCCAAATTCGACCCTGACAACAAACAAGAGGCTGCGCTGAAGGAATTCATCGAGAAACATAACGCTTAGGAGAACGCTCTGTAACAGATGTTGATTTATTAAATCTTGTGATATATTAACCGTTTTTGTTTATCAACGCTATGAAAACTGTAGTCGCTTAATTGTAATATTCGTTTGCTTATTTAAATAGAACTCTGTTTAAAGCCGTTTAAATTTTCACACATAACGTATCATGATTATAAAGTGTTTACAATTATTTAGTTTTACTCTAATTAGAAGCACACAAGTAACTATTCTATTAAGTTTAATTTTTTTAAGTTCTAAACATTTAATGAAAATGGCTTCAAACATTAATCAAACAACTACAACGAAATGCTTAATACATTTTAGAAAAAAAATTGCGTTAAACTCGAAGGATCGCCAGCTAAATATATTAGATAAAATTTCATTATCATTATCATAAATTTTGAAATTAGGGAGTAGATAGGACGTCGGTTTGATGCCCAACGGGTCTAACGTGTTTCTTAGGATTCTTTTAGATATGGTACTTCTTTTGGAGACCCTGTAGAATATTTTATTTTTCTCATAAAAAACATATCTATAATTAAAATACATTATCGGTTTATAACGCGCAATATAATACTGATAACTTGATTTAACTACAGCCCGATGTTTCGAATTCTTTGCAGCAGTTCACGTTTCACGTTTTAAACCGTTGAAAGTCATTTATTTAAATATTATGTACTGGTCACATAAACTGCAGACCAAACTTCAATTCATATCTACTTTAATTTTTATAAGTGAAATCTCAATTAAAATATAGTATAATAATATTAATTCGTTTAAATAAAATACTTAAACGGTTTAAAACGCGATGTATTATTTTACGGGGATTACACGGGGATACTGATTGTCTCCCAGTGACCACGGCTGCTGCAAAACATTCGAAATGTCGGGCCCTAGTGTACTCCTCGCATAAACTACAGACAGTATTTTACTTCGCTTACCATTTACAGTATACATATGGTAATTTTAATTCATTCATTTGTTAGCAACAATGAAACAATAACAACGTGTATAATAATTAACTTTTAAACAAAAATACAGGAAAAAATAAAATCAAATAAGTTGTATGTATGTACTATTTGAAATATAATTATGCAGGCGATACGATCTCGCAATGAAGATATAAAAATTAATGTGAATCACTTAATTACTATGATCTTGTCGGTAGTTGCCATTACTTATAATACAGTGTGTTAACGTGTCTGCACGCGCGTGTGTGTGAAGTTCCGTGTTATTTTCGATGGTCTTGGCACTGACACACATCTGTGTCTGTCATACCCGACATTTTGAGGGCTCGTACTGTCCGAAGCTGTATATTATTATTTTTCTAGTTTCGAGACACAAAACACTTTATTTCTTTTAGACAATATTTTAAATTATTCTAGGTTTAAAAAAAAAAAAATTTATATAAAAAAAAAAAAAAAAAAAAAAAAAAAAAAAAAAAAAAAAAAAAAAAAAAAAAAAGGGGGAGGAACCCCCCCCCCCCCCCCCCCCCCCCCCCACGCGGGGGGGGGGGGGGGGGGGGGGGGCACCCCCCCCCCGGGGGAAAAAATTTTTAAAATTTATTTTCGATTTTTAAATTATTCTAGGTTTCAAATTGCGACTCCCACGCTTAACGTATTAAGCTACGGAGAAGGCTAGCTTTACAAAACTGAGAACTAAGAAGCACTGTTATTAACTAATAATAAAAACACAGTATTTACGTACATGAATTTCAGTTGAACATTTATAAAGTTATAAATATTAAAAAAATAATTACCAACATTCCTCAATATAACAATACTCACTATGTCGTCAACTGATCCATTTAATTGTTAATAATGAACGAGTAAAGCACAGTATATTTATATATAATTAAAAGCAAGTAAACGTAATTTAACGGAAAATCCTGGCGGATAGAATATTTTAGATGCACAGACCATGACAGCCAATCGAAGGCTTTATTTTGGAATTTTTGAATTTGGATTTTATTAACAATTCCATATACTGGAATTTACATGTAAGGATTGCGTGTACTGGCGAGTAGTGGATCCGATTACCACCATGACCAACCAGATTTTAATTAATTTCTTTTTAAGTTAAACCCAAGTGAAAAAAGTAGTTACTTGTCTCCTTATCAAAAACTATCATCCCATATTAGACAAATGATAAATTAAAACGTATGCATCATGCAAACGCAAGAAAAAAAAAACGGGAAATTTTACAAAAAAAAAATTACAGACTGTTGTATGATGGTCAAATTTTCTTTTATATAAAGGCGGAGGGAATTAACATGTTTAGTTTACAACTAAGGTTGCAGTGTTGAGAGGCACTTTGCATTGTTATTGTGCTTGGAATCCAATTAATTCAAGTGAGTATTCCATTTATCTATTCACAATGCTCTCGTAATAATAAAATAATAATAAAATCATTAATTTCAAAAGTTGCTTACAGAAATAAAATCTATGAACTAATATTAACTTAATGCAAAATATAGAAAGCTTAACAAATAATAAAAATTATTGTCTATGGCAACTCCTAAAACAGGAGCCACTCAGCATAATGTTACAAACACACTTGTGCGTTGTGTGTGATTTTCAGTGGCCCCTGGCGTCACCGCTTCTGGAGAAACATGCGTTTAAAATTTGCTCTTAAATTAAATAAAAAAATAATAAATATTTAAATAAAACACTTTAACGGTTTAAAACGCGATATATTAGTTAAACTTATTTGAAAATGATTTTTCACTTCGGCCCGACGTTTCGGATGCTTTGCAGCAGCCGTGGTCACGGGGAGACTCCCCGTCATCCAAAACGTCGGGCCGAAGTTAAAAATCATTTTCAAATTATATAGACATTGTGTCGTGAACATTTTTTTGGATCATTTAAGGAGGAATCATTGTTTCATACATATTTTTTGGGTAATCGGAAACCCACAAAGTTGAATAATTTTACCTGATTTTCCACATTTCCCGCTATATCTTCTTAATTCATTGAAAACATTTTTCAGCCATGAAGCTTCTGATCGTCTTGGCATTAGTAGCTGTTGTAGTTGCTCCACCTGAGGAGTTCTACAGAAGCCGTTACGACGACTTCGACGAGACCCAGCTGACTGAGAACCCTCGTATACGCTATGAGCGTGATGAGCTCACAATTCCAATGCTTCATGGGAACTGGGAACTGCCAACCTGAAGATAATACTAGCCACAATTTAAAATCGAGAACATATAAATAAAAAGGAATACCTACGTTTCTTAGAAAATACTAAAACTTAAGTTAAATACACTTTTTGTTTTGAATGAATTAGGACTTATTTTCTTGCTTTAGAATCATTTTAAACGACAGCTAATAAATGGCAAAGTAACTTTAAGTTCAATATCAAACCTTACTTAAGGAGGTCCGGAGTTCGCTCCACAGTCGTTCCATAACATGATTAACTTTGTTGACATTACTTGCTCTGCGGTGAAGGACAAGTAGTAAACGGTTACTATGGTAACGAAGTTTAAAATTGGAATGCTCTTTTTGCGATCACCATAATTTAAATTCGTTGCTACTGTAGCGAAAAGTTAAGCACGTTATTATGTTTCATTGAATATTAATATAATTTTGTGTACTTAAGTTTTGTGAGAAACATTAGGGATTTAACACATTTCGCTTGCGCCTTTATTCATATTTAAATTTAGTTTTTGCGTACACAATGCTACATTGTACACGTAAATCTGAAATTTAACCGAGCAAGGTTTCATCTGAGCAAGATTTCACTTTTAACGGTTTAAATCGCGAAATACATAAATAGATTGTAATATTTATAATATTACTATTATAACAAATAAATATTGTAAACAAGATAAGTAATATAATTCGTGTTTTTTATTAAAGTTAAATCCCCATTGCAGGCGATACGATCTCGCGATGAAGATAAAAAAAATGTGAATCACTTAATTATTATGATCTCGTCGGTAGTTGCCATGACTCATAATACAGTGTGTTAACGTGTCTGCACGCCCGCTCACCCGGGTGAGCTTCCGTCCAGCTCCTCAAGCTCCCACCCACATTGCGGCGGTCCAAGCCGAGGCCGTTGCCCCCCTCGGGGCACCCTTGGTCTAGCCGCAAACACGGCGAGCGCTCTCGCGCTCGCCCAAAACGCCCGGTTAGTATTCGTGGCTCCATAGGAACACAATACGTAATAGTCCATTCAAAAAAAAAAAAAAGTGTCTGCACGCGCGTGTGTGTGAAGTTCCGTGTTATTTTCGATGGTCTTGGGACTGACACACATCTGTGTCTGTCATACCCGACATTTTAAAGGCAAAGGCTCGTACTGTCCGAAGTTATGTATTATTATTTTTCTAGTTTCGAGACACAAAACACAAAACCAGGCCTTAGGTTGATAATCTAAGCATACAAACAAAACAAAAATACTTACATTACCTCTAGGTATTGAGCACAAACATCAACAAAGTTATTTGGGAATTGTATAAAAAATTTTTTTTGAAAAATTATGAAAATTGAAATGCGTACAATTCACAGTTTTTATATATTTCCGGTGACATATATACAGTTAAAAAGTAAGTAGAAGAAACTTTCGTACCATTAAAAATTGCACTTTTTTCCTGGGTGATGACAACCACAGGACCGGGCTAAACATTTGAACCATGGAGGTTTAAGAATAAACATTTTATTACATCCTGACATTTCATTGACCGCCTCTGTAGCCAAAAGGTTAAAGGTATTGCCTAGCATTGCGTTAAGCGCGAGAGGTTCTGGGTACGAATCCCCGGGAAAACAAAAAAAAAATGTTTCGGTCTCGCAGGGCACAGAAGTCTGATCAACTACTTGCCCGTTAAAAGAACGGATCAGTGAAACGGACACAGAAATGTGTTCGCCCCATACCCCAAGAGGGGCTTTCACTTTGCCACTTCATAAATCTGTGGTCTTCAAAACAATGTTGTATTAGATCAAGTACTTCCCTCTAAAACGATCACTAAAACAGACATAAAAATATGTCCGTAATATTCGGTGCCGTAA